ATGTTATTTAATGTTAATAAATGGAACAATAGAAGTAGCTAACGATAATGGTAAAGAAAAAAGAGAGCGCGCGTATGTAAGTGCGCATGCGCACACGTGAAAACATATCGTCATTACTGTACATAAGAATATGAAAGCAACACTTATTTTCTGTTCATATATATTTTAATTAATGTTTCTGAATTTGTTTTTATTGAATTAATGTTTGTGTGTGCAAAATTAACAATACAATTTATTAATAATACGTGGAATATTAGAGACGAGACGGCTGCCGGCATTGTTTATGTTAAAGCTTACAAAACCAGTGACTGATTGGTTCTACATATAAAACTGAATAAAATAAGACCCTGATTTTAGCTGTAGTAAAATTAATGTAAAAAAATTTATATGGTTGCTTGAAGTACCTGTAATGTTATTTAATGTTAATAAATGGAACAATATAAGTAGCTAACCATTAATGGTAAAAAAAAAGTGAGACTGCGCGTATGTAAGTGCGCACATGTGAAAACATATCATTACTCTACATAAGAATATGAAAGCAACACTTATTTACTACTCATATATATTGAAGGGTTAAATGTTGTACTCTGTATAGACAAGCAGAGAGAGAGAGCAGCCGAACTGCCGGATGTAAACAAACCTTAATTTCCCGCTTTTTTTTTTAAGGGGATTAGCCCACCCGGGCATGTCACTGACCCACATTGGAGCCTGATGGGCAAAAATTTAATACTCCTGTAATAATAATAATTCAGATAAGTTAAAAAAAAAAAGCTGCCTATCTACCTGTTGGACAAACTAAAATCGTTTCCGGACCACAGAATGCCGGACTAGAGAGGTACAACCTGTAATAGGATGCACCCTCAGCAATACATATTAGGTCTTCCTGCAAAGATGAGGAAGTTTATTGTCTCATTGAAATGAGACAAATCAGAATGAAGGAGTTGTTTGACACTGAAAATGATTGTTTGTAAAAAAAAAAAAAAAAAAGTATGCTAGTACAAAATTCCAAAGAACCCTAGAATTGAGAAAGGAAATATTAGTGGGACCAAAGATGCTTTGTAAATGACATGACCTACTGCATAGGTGTCACCACTGCATTCTATAGAATAAGAAGAATAACAAAACAGCAGTAGATAGCCCACTGATCATTAATAAAATGTTAATGTAACCCTTTAACTGCTATCATTGTCTTCAGATGATTTACGAAAATTGCGCCATTGTTCTCTTCAGATAATTGGCATTTGGCGCCATGAATTTGAAGCTGTGCACTAAAAATGATACGTACTGGAGGAGTCTTGGAATTATTTGCAATTATTTATGCCTCTTTTTCCGCAGTGTTCCCTCACCCTCACCTACGAAGCCACAGCCTGACTCGCACCTACATAAGGGCTTACAGGGGCGAAATCAGGAATATCAAAAGAGGGGGGAGGCAGTCCAAGAAGTTGTGGGTGAAGGAACATGGCGAGCACAGCAAGCCCACCTAGCTGGGGGATTTCGGGGGCCACCGTAAGTCCCACCAGAATTTTTTTTTTAAATTTGACCAATATCATGGGCATTTTAAGGCCATTTTGAAACCCTGTGCACTTGATATTAGGAGATATTCTAAGATCAAAAGTAATTACTTTTTACTATACAGAAATATCTGAGTACAATACTGCATTAAAGAAAAGGTATTGGAAATTTCTGGTGAAAAGGGGGGTCCAGACCCACAGAACCCCCCCTCCCCCCCCGGTCTACCTTCCACTTCCTTCACTAAATCAGTATTACAGTTATCAATTTGCACTTGTTGAATTAATGGTCCTTCTTCTCTTTGTACTTTTAGCACTTTTGTTTTCTCTCATTCACTTTGAGTCCTACTGTACCGGCCAGTGGCGGATTGGCCCACCGGGAAATTTCCCGGTGGGCCACAAAGTGATGGTTCCTTTGACTATGTTTTGGGATTAAGTGGGCCCTTTTGGACCCTTTTGAGTGAGCCCTTTTACAAGTTTTCCCGGTAGAAATTTTTGACCCAGTCCGCCACTGGGCTCGGCTGTTAATCTGAATGGGCAGAAAAGACGTTGTATCTGTGGCCATCAGATCCACATGTTAATATATTTACTGTTATGTCTTAGTTTTATTCCTTCTTCTTTACCTTCCATTGTCCTATCGACCTTCTCCAACATAAAGGTGAGTGTTGATGGCACAGTGGTAACATGTGTATCTCTTGTCACATGAGAAGGGTGTTACCCAATGTGACCCTACCAAACATCACAGGTTTTCTTCTGTACTAATACTGGACAATAAATGTTGTAATAAAGAACAGACCAACAACCAAATGACTAGTAAGCTGATCAAGTGTTGAAATGATAAATAAACAAAATAATCAAACTAAGGCGAGGGACAATAGGCATTTGTGTTCCTGATAAAAAATGTTTTTTTTTTATCTTAGTTGTATACAGGTACATATTTTATTCACAGAACATTTCCTAATCACTGTACCTAGTAATCAACTTTTGTGGTATGTCAAAATACTGGTCAGTTCTTTATATACAATACTGTGTATATTTTTCACCTTTTGCTTTAATTTTGAGATTGAGATCGGTATTCATTCAATGAGTTTCCTGTAGGATTAAGAAGTAAAATTGTAGAATGCATTAAAGGTGGACCAGAAAAAAATACTATTTTTTGTGTTGTTCACCAGTTTGGATGATTTTTTAAACAAAAAGTTTGACGTGGATAACTTAAAAATTGCTTGAACATGACCTTTAAAATGTTTGCAGTCATGACCAAAATCATCTGTACATTTGGATTGAATTTATATAGTCTACAGCAGAGGTCGGCACCCTTTTGAACACACTGCGCCAGTTTTTAACATTTCCACTGCCCTACGTGCCAACTATAATTTTCAATAGCAAATAATTGTCATATGTATACGTATTGATAAATAATGCTTTCGTACATATTTGAAATACACACAATTACATATGAATGGTAAGATATATAATAAAATACTATAAAATGCTCTCACCATTTTAGTGTGATCCCTGTCCCTGCTTCCCCTTGCTCAGCGTTGTTATGTAGGAAGCATATCTGGACACCTTAAAGTTGCTCACACCCTCGGAGTGATCAGTTGTAAGTCGGCTGCGATGAGGATTGAGGATATTCTTTATGTAAGAAAATAACTGCTCACATAGATATGTCGATTCAAAGGTTGAAAGCAGTACGAAGGCAACCTTCTTCATGCAATCAAATTTCTCTGGTAGGGATGCCCAGCAGCTTGAGATGGAGGCCGCATGATCACTCACAGTCGTTTCAAGTGATTTACGTAGTTCCGTGAACTTCACTACCCATAATGAAGACAACTTAAAATCGATCAGCTGCATCTCCAGGTCCCCAATTTCCATCCACTCAAATTAAAGACCAGTCCAAGTTCCTCCTTTCAAAGTTTTCAGGTTTAATTAAAAAAGAAAACATTGGACCAATGTGCTGGAAATCAAAATGATCAATGAACACTTTAACAATATCATCTCCCTTGGTAATACCATGCATAGATCTTAGGCAGCACAGCCCCTCATGTACCACCGTGTCACTGTACCTGGTGACAATAGCCAAACGTGGTATGTCATTTATACCATCACTCTCATCAACAGCAATACTGAACACAGTTGCATTTGATAATGCAAAAGTTTGCTGTTTTCTTATATTTGCAGCCATGTCTGATACGTGCCTCTCTACAGTCCTGGCTGCAACAGGCATGTCTTTTATCCTTGAGATGATTTTGTGTTTGTTTGGTAAATCACAAAATAAAACTTGAGAGCTGTTGAGAAAGGTCTCCTTTATATCATCCCCATCAATAAATGGTTTTCCATGTTTAGCAATACACAGAGACACTTTGTAGCTGGCCTCAGTTGCATGATCTTTGTTTGCACTCGGATTCTTCATAACGCTGCTTTGTTTTTCATAGCGGAATACTGCCTTCAGCCATGTCTGCATTGTCCTTAAATGTCTTTTCATGCTTCGTTTCATAATGTCTCATTACACTTGATGTCCAGCAAACAACATTCTCGCAACACAGAGCACACACAGCTCGACCATTCTTTAGAATAAATCCAAAGTCTTTTGTCCAAGAGGGTTGAAACGATCGAACGTCTAATTTGGCAGCTGCCATTGTGGCTACTTAATTATGAGAAGCTTCTGTCACCGCGGCTGAAAGTACACTGACCGTGCCTGATGGTCTGAGTAACTAGTGTTACCACCTAGAAATAGAAACTCCAACAAATAAAAAATCCAGTAGATTGAATACTAACAGAAAGATGATTGTGTAATTTCAATAAAAGTGATGTACTGTAAATACATACCGGTATTCAAAACAAAACATATAATTATACTCCAATTTCTTAGATATAGAAAATATCCAAGAAAAAGAACAAAAGGCGAGCTACCTATTTTGTGTAGCTAGAATGGCAACACTGGGTCTGACGTGACACAGGATACAGCTGAGCGGACGGGTACTAGTTGAGCGAGTTCTAGCTCGAGCTCATGTCACAGTTTGTTCATTTGAAATGACGCTATTATTTTTTGATTTTGTAACATGTTTTTAAAATCACTTGGCATGCCATGGTCAACCCTCTAGCTGGCACGCGTGCTAGGGGTTGCCGACCCCTGGTCTACAGGATATTTCATGTTATTTACAGCAGTATAAGAGTAACTAACAACAGAATCATTTTTGAGGAATTGATATGTTTTTGGGGTATTTTATCAAGTGTAAATTCCTTCATCCCAGTCTTGATGTCACTCATGTGTTCAGCAGTAGAGCAAGGACCATAAAAGAAGAAAGACCATGGGAAAGATATAGAAATCCTCAAGGCTGTCTTAGGCTCAATGTTGTCTACTGTACTGTACTCGCAGTGGTTCCCAAACAGGGGAGCATGAGGTTGGTACAGGGGGGACGTGAAGCCACGTAAAAAACATATATAATGAAAAAAAATTCTTTATTAGGAATTTTAATTAAATTGTGCATCTTTAATTTTTTTTAGTACTGTATATTTCGATCTTCTCCATATGCAAGAGATACATGGATAACATAATTACACGTTAGTTGATCCTGAAAGTAATATAAATAAGAGTACAAGGTGTAAAACCGATTAAAACTTGATTAAATTTATTCTAAAAAATGGGGGAGGGAGCATGAAGCTTTGGTAAAAAGCAAAAGGGGGATGTCATATGATATAGTTTGGGAATCACTGCTTTAGAGAGCCATCCTGTCTATTTTACTTATATTGACTTTCACATTTTGATGCAAAAAATAAAAATGTCCAGATGACACATATATTTAATACTACTAACTACAAATACTCTCGTACAAAAGAAAAAATTAAAAGCTAAGACTACTACATTCTATTATAACCCTAACCACATGTTCTGCATGTTTAAAAGCACCTTTTTTTCTTTCATTTTTATCATTTACAGACAAATACATATTAAAGCTTTTATTAGGTTAACTAAAGTTCCCAGTTGTGTTTTCTACCCAAGAATTTCAGAGACTTGCAATATATCTGAACTACTGTATATTAAAGATACGACTGACGAAAACATTTAAAGGAAAGTCTATAATTTGAATATCGTTTTACATTCAATGTTCCCAATTTGTATGTGTAACCTATGCAAAGATTTGTCTTCAGCCAGGTTAATTTGTGCAATTTACAGAGAAGCATAATTTTGAATACCCAAAAAGTAATGGTAGTGTAGTGTATCCATACAAAATTCTGATGACAATAAAACTGATGATCTCTGGTCTACATCCCATTGCCTTATTAATACTGTTTTAGATGTATATTCTGAAACACAGGACTATATTATGGCACTCCCATTATGAAATCTGATTGCTATGACATATGATCTAAGAAAGTAATGAATTTATGATACTGGTTTCAAATAGCTCAGAGTTCTGCTAGTCATGTTCTGCAATTACCATATTGTAACACCTTGCTTTAACCCCTTTGGCATTATTCACTCTAGAGTATATACAGCTGGTTGAAGTCAAATCAACACCCGTACACTAATCTGACCTTTCTTACATGGGAGGACATAACCCAGTGACAGAGATGATGTGAACAGATATTACAAACTGGAAAATAGCAGATTAGTTGGCTTTAACTGCTAATGGGCAGCATTACAAAAGAAAAGGCAGACTAAATTTTTTTTTAATAAAATTTAGATTTCTTGCTCCAAACCTCACTTTGTTATTTAGTTCTCATTTTAATATTATACTGTATATGGACTAATATCTCCCATTTATCAAAATTTCTACTTAAATAATTTCCCTTGTATATACACAGTAAAATCAGGCAAAATTGCATTTATGCAAAGTAATTGTAACCCCTTGCAAAAACACAAAATCACAACAATGGAATTACTAAAAGCCTTACAAACTACCCAAGTTACATAAAGTGTACTGTAATTCCAAAGTAACCCTCCAATAAATAAATCTCAGATAATAATATATTAATAAAATGCACCATAATGTGTTTGAACCTATGAATACTAAAATATGAATGGAAAGAACAAAAAAGATAAAAGACAAAAAATAAATAAATAAAAAAGTAGCAAAAATTATTGGTTAACTGACTTACCAACATACATGCACAAGGTGCCAGTAGTCCTCAGGGGATTGATTAACTTTCCAGTAGCCCAAAAACTTGATCTTAAACTCTTTACCTTCAACATTCTTCGAAACAGATTTGCTGAGTTCAGGGGCACATGATGCTGCTATCTTGTGACCATACAGGGTATTTTCAAAACAATCACCAATATCACTGCACTTCTGTGAGAGAGGGTGTAACTGTGATGCAAGGGGAGTGACAGAGGATGCTTTACCTGATGCTAAATATCTGTTAAAGTGTGTCAGCTTGACCAAGACTTGGATGCTTAGTTACTAATGTTTCTCTTTCAATCAATGATTACTTCATTTTGTAACAGCATGTTATATTATTATTATACTTAATTTTACATATGTAGTGAAAAACATTCAATACACAAACTTTTATGAACAGTTTCATGTGCAGTACCATGATAACATACTGTAAGCTGCAATCAGTGGTGAATGCGTGCAAATGATTTTATTACAATGTACAATAGTCAAAGGCATTACATTATAATTCATGCACTTCAACTTAACCTAAATTGGTCAAGATCTTTTTATAGAATTCTTGTGTTCACTTCCTTCATGAATTTACCATTTCTTTCTTGGCCCAAGATACAAAGTGAGGGGGTCACAGTTTTGGCATTCTGGGAGCATTTTAGTATGACACCAAAAAAAGTGAATTTACAAGCACAATTTTGCTGGGTTATCCTGTAATGTACAGTACTGAATATCTTAGCTGTTAACCATGTTATTTCTCACATTTATACCTTATAATACATGCAGTAATGACTGAGTCACACACAAGGAATACCCAAACCTTACCATGTACAAGTTTTTTTTTTAAATATCTGAGATGCTTCTATTGGTCCTTTGCATTTACAGGTGTAGGTGTGAGAATGTTATGATGTATCATATGGGAAAAGTTCTGTATATGCCAACATGCTTTTACGATATGGCCTATTCAGTGCAAAAAGAATCATTAATGTTAATTATTATGAAAATGCATTGAAAAATTATTTTTTGTAAGCCATCTGAAATGGATAATACCTGTTAACAGTACAGTACTATTTAAAGGTTCAATGAGAGTCATAAAGCATTTCTAAGACCTAAAATTCATGTTTCAAACATATTTCCACTTCAGAACCTTAATATTTCCTCTTAAAATACTTGCTGTTGTACTTTGTAATAAGCTACCATCATGAATATTATTGAAGTTCATTTATGCAACAAAATCTTATATAATACATACCTACATCACGTACTCTTTTTCTACATGAAAACAGAATGGCATGTGCAGAATGACTACGACAGGAAGGAAGATGGTGGCTGATCACTTTAACTTGTACTATTTCCTCATATATTTAATGGATGATATTGTAGCCAAACTTCTCCTCATTTCTATTTTTTATCCAGGCTCTTATGAAAATATCCTTACATGTCATGACTACTAAATGTACTGTACTGTATACTGTACTGTATAAATAGCAAGTACAGTATTAGTTATAAGACTCCCAAATTAACCTCCAGTTTCCACCACTGTACTGCATTGCTTAACAAAACTGAGCATCAAAATCTCGGGAACAAGAGGTGAATGACCACGTTAAAAATGTATTTTCATAATAAGGATCCTCAAACTTTTTGCTGGCACCATAAAATTTGGCGTTTGTGCTTAATGAGTTCGAATGAAGATTACTTTTGGACAGAGTGTCATTTACTACCCAATGTTCAATATTATTTATCTATTACATTATGGTACTGCAGGGTAACGCCACACTTAAATTAATCATAACTGAGGATCTGGTAAAATCAAGAAAATATGAAGATTCAATACTAAACAAATGAAATTAATACCCCGTGTATTGTATATGTATACATTATATTGTATATATATGCTCTGTCACCTTATGCACTACGATTAAACAAGTGAGACATACTTTATAACCAATTGCAACAGATTTTACCTTTCTACTTGTATTAAATGTAATATGCAAAAAAGTTCTGATGTAGAATAAAACTTTAATTTCAAACTAACTGTTTCTCATGATCAGAAATTTAATAAAAGAGAACAGTATTGCAATACAAGTTCAATCTGATAATTTTTTTTTATATATTTGCTTTTATTAAAAATCATACAGAATTAAAAAAAAAAGCTTCCAAGCAGAATACATTTTTAGTATGAAATTTGATTACAAATATTTGTCCAAAACCTGAGCAATTACCTAATGTTTTTTCTATCTATTCCTAAACTATAATAACTGCTATTAGTTATCAAACATCCATTTCAATTTTTTCCATTCTGTTTAGTATCATTATTGATGTTATCACATATATCTTAATCTGTTATTCAGTATAGCTTTCATGTCATCTTAGAGAAAAAAAATATTGTCCATGGTTTTTCTCAACAATATTTGTTATTGAACTCTGATCATAAAACAACCAGAGCAAAATGTCATTGCTTGCTCAGATATGAGGTGTGTGAAATCTGCCAATCAAACCCACTGAATCTCACTAAAAAGAGTGAGGCAAAAAATAAAGGTTTAGTTGCTCATCTCACACTGTCCAGGAACTCTTCTAAAACATGGCTGCCAGATGACCCTAGAGAACAGAGCAGTAACCACAGTAGGCCTCCTCTTCTGTGCGTTGGTTGGACACACTGAAGGCGCCCTGTGATCTTTGGTCCATTTCCCATAAGCCTGGTGTTTGGATGATCTATTTTGAAATAAAGACATAGCAATTATTCAAAAGGGTTTTTATATAACAGACAAATATTGAAAGCTCCTATCTGATACTCAAGATAAAATTGGAGAACTAAAGTGTGAATTTAATTTCTATGACTGAGAAGACTAAATTTGTGGCCTGTGTGAGAACCTGTGGACGCCCTATATAGGTTAGGCCCAAAGAGTTTTTATCTATATTTAAGAATTTCTTTTATTTATTTGTATATGAGTAATCAATGTGTTCTTATCTGAGTAGTGATGTTAGCGATTAATGTACCGTACATGCATCCGTTAAGGACACATGAATCACTGCTCAAGAATTAACACTGCATGGCTACCAACTGCCACTACTGTACTGTATAATGCTAAATTTTTCCTGCTTATTGAAACTTGAATACAACTGTTTAAGAATTCATTATATTTCTTATTCCATTTTCTATTTTCAATGAGTTTACCATATACAGTAGACCCTCGCCAAACGTGGATTCCACGTATCCACGGTTTTTACTCTTTATACCATTTCAACAACCGGAGCATTGAATTTCCAGTATCCTCGGGCATCTTTATCTGTCCACGGTCTAATGTATTTCTCCATAAATGTGAGGAATGAACAATAATAATGCTGTACTAATAAATAAAAGAAAAGAGAAACTACTGTATTGCCATTTGGCAATTGTTTCACTAAAGAACAGGAGACAGAAGCACACTCCCCCTCCCTCTCAATCATGGGCCAACTCCTGTGGATGTAAGAAATGTTTATTCTCTTTATATTTTTGACCTTTTGATAATTTTTTGGGGGCAAATTTAGTTTGAACAATTGTGTGCACGTAACAGAATAAAAAAATCAATAAAATTACAGTAAAAGTCCAAAAATCCGGATGCCAAAAATCCGGACCACCCGAGAATCCGGACTTTTGGAAAACTAATTATTATTATTTTTTTTTTTAGCGGGCTTTTGTGTGTATGTGCGCATGCGTGAGCGCCACAGCTGCACAGCGACAACAAGCGACCACGTGGTCTCCACTTTAAAACGAGCAATCAAACTGACAACATACCGTATATACTCATCTATAACCCCCCCCTCGTTTATCTGTCAACCCTGATTTTTTGACCAAGAAATCGTTAATTTATGATATTCCTCGTTTATAGTTTGACCCACGTTTTTGAGGGTAAGCGAACAACAAAACCTTCAGTGAAAACGCTCTACGTCCTATAAACTGAAACACGAGTGCCGAAGGCAAATTGTTTACCATTTATTATTACAACACTTTACACTGAAACGTGGGTAGTTTCAACAAAAATATTGTATATTTCCATTCAAGTATTTATTCAAGTCAATTAGGAGGGAATATTATTGTAATACAACAGTTTTTTAACTAAACCATTCGAAAAGCGATTACGGTAACATCTTTTGAACGAAAGAAAGCGAAAGTCATTGTTTTCGTCACGATTTTATCCCACTTTCCACTTTAATACGTACGTCATTTCAGCAAAAATATTACATTTCCGTGAATGTATTATATCAAGCACAGTATGAATAGAATATCATTGTAATATAACAGAATTTTAACCGAAAACTATTAAAAAAACGAGTAACATCTCAAGAACATCGGAAGCTTAGGTAAAGTCTTTTGTTTTCGACATGTATTTTATCCTATTTTACATTAAAATACATCACGTTTCAGCAAAACTACTATTTATTTCCGAGAATATATTCATTCAGGCGCAGTTTAGGTAAAATATACGTGTGATGTAATAGTTTTTTAACTGAAAACGATTCGAAAAACACGTACCCTCTAGCCCTGTTCAAGGAGAGGACTGGGAGAAGCTGTTTGGTGCTGCAGACGATGACAAAGAAAATGATTTTGATGGATTTTAATGAAAATATTCAGAAATATGGTATCGTAGTATTTATTCAAGTCAATTAGGATAGAATATTATTGTAATACAGTACAACAGTTTTTTAACTAAACCATTCGAAAAGTGATTACGGTAACATCTTTTGAACGAAAGAAAGCGAAAGTCATTGTTTTCGTCACGATTTGATCCAACTTTCCACTGTAATACGTACGTCATTTTAGCAAAAATATTACATTTCCGTGAATGCATTATATCAAGCACAGTAAGAATAGAACAATATTTTGAGTCCTACTCTTTCCATTTACAGATTACTGTACAAGCCCATAATAATGGCTCCTGAAGTAGATAAACTTCGTTGTTTGAAGAGAAAGAAGAACACGTTGAAATTGAGTGACAAACTTGAAATAATTAAGAAACTAGAACGTGGTGTGAGCAATACTGTTCTAATGGAAAATACAACATTGGAAAGTCTACAATTTATGATATCAAAAAGGCAAAGAATAAAATTCTAGAATTCACAGCTTTTTCATTAAAACTGCTCGTTTTGATAAATGAAGCATGCTATATTTGCTAATGAATAAACTATCAAAATGTACCTGTTCATCTCTTCTTTATTCCTCCTTAAATTTTAATTTTAAAAGTACTGCCTGAGAATCCAGAAAATCCGAAAATCCGGACCGACTCAATCCCCAAGCAGTCCGGATTTTTGGACTTCTACTGTACGTATATCTACCCAAAAATACTAGTTGAAAAATAACAATAACACACCTTGGCCTGAGAGGGGAAAGCTAGGGGGACGTAGCTACAGGGACAGTCAAATTTGGCGATCTGCCAAGCACGCACACATGCATGCACGTACGCACGCACATATGGGAATTAAGATCTCACTGTTTGGCACAACTTAACTGTGTGGTTTGCTGATTCTATACTGGACAGTTGCCAACTGAACTATATTTGTTCACATCAATTTTGTATGACAATAAATTGTGGTGCTTGCTTCCTGATTGATTTGATATAGCTAATCTATTTTATTCTGGCTACCGCCAAACGACTTTATACAACTGGGGAAGTTCCATCTAGTAGTCAAGGGGTTAAACAAAACTTTGCTGTTTCTACAAGATATAGATTCAAACATATTCATAATCCATTTGCTCATAAATGCCCCCCTTTGCAAACAAACACCTTACTTAGAACAAGAATTCATCCCCTCTCATCCTATTGTAACTTTAGTACTGTACTTTCATCTGGCTAGCGCTAAACTATTACACTCAGCTGAAGAAATGTCGTCGGTATTGTCAGTGTTATCCTTCATTGAAATCTCTCCCAACTGATATACACTTTCTCTCCTCACCCCTAGTATCCCATCTCCCCTACAGAAAGACACCTAACCCAATATACCCCTCCCCTCTCCCTATCTATCACTAATGAATGCTTCGAATTCACACTTAAGAGTTTGGGGTTCACACCTCATTGAGAGAGAACTGGCAACACTATAGGGTAAGCAAGGGAGTGGAGCCAACTGTATATGGAGAAGACTTGCATAAAAAGAGCATGGTTTGAGATATGAACTAAATATTTATGTGGTATATTGTACCAAAATTTCCCTTTTGATATTACCTTTTGAACAAGTTCTTCAAAGGCACACTGTACTCCATCCTTAGTTTTGGCAGAAGCTTCAATGAACAGCATAGCATGACGTCGTGCAAATTTGAGGCCTTCTTCTCTATTTACTTCAATTTTCTCCTGAAAATTGAGCAAGAAGATCTGATATTTCCTGCACACTAAAACACAGACAGTTATGCCACATTAGGACATCCTTAAAAACACAGTTTATCACAATCTTGCCAGGTGGTTTCATCTGGACATTAAAGAAATCCATATACTTGTAATTACACATATACACAGTGATGATAAGCTACATGCAGAAGACTGACCTTAAAGAAAAATACTGCAATTACACATACTGTACACATACGTATATGGTAAATTAGTTAACTACATGTAGTTCACTGAAAATAAAGATAAACTATGTAAGAGCACTTGTACAATGAAAGACAAAAGTCTTGTCGTGAAATTTAGTGAAAACATATGCCGAAGGGCTAAACTTTTCGTGCGCTCTGCCTTGTGGAAGGAGGCTCTCTTAATGTTTCATGAGTTATATTTAATCTTCGGACAAAACTGCGACATGACTTTTGTCTCTGATTGTACATACTGATAATTAATCAATCACATGTACAGTAAACCCCCGCACTACCGGACAATTGGAGAGGGTGTCCGGATGTGGCAAATGTCCAAATGCACCGGGGAACAAAGGAGCATTAGCAATAATCATAATATCCCCATTAGTAGGAACAATTGGTGCAGAGCACTTCCAGGGATGAGAGATTTCTGGCTAACCAAACGACTTTTTCAAACCCGGAAAAATTCCTTACCCCCAGAATCTTTTCTGGTTACTTTTCAGGCATGGGAAACCCATGGCACAGCAGAAGTCTTGATGGTGAAGTGGCTGTATACTGGCAGGGAAAGATTTAAGCAAGTTTGCTTCCCTGTTCACCACGAGGGCTAGCCAGTGGCAGTAGCTGAAAGCGAGGGGATGCAAGTAGTGCCTGCACCTTTGCACTAACATAATGCTGCCACACTAAATGCATTACACCACCCTGTGTGCACACGCGCACACACACACACTTGGTGGTAGCTACAAGACAGTTGGAGAGTGGCTCATCTCCACAGTAGCTGCTAAAATATTGTTGCTGATCAGTTTGAGTTCTTTCCCCAGCTTGTGATCAGTTCTGTGTCCGTGTTCAGGACTGTATTCACCCTTAAAGATGCAGTGGGTGGGAGATGACCTTTTTGGGGGGAAACTGACCATGGAGGTTTTAGAGAACCTAAGCCTTGCAAACATATTAGGTACAAGGTACTGCATGATTAAACTCAATATTGTTATTCTGTATACACATGTAACCAGTTTAAAATTCTAATGTATGAGTGATGCTACAGTACTGTGCTTAGAGAATACACAGGCAGGACAAAATGTATTTACCCATAAAAAAGAAAAGTATACCATAGAAAAGAAATATGTTGTAACATACCTTATCTATTTTATTACCAACTAACATCTTGACAACATCTGTTTTGGTAGAATAGGTATCTAGCTCATTAAGCCACATATCTAACTTTGCAAAAGTGCTCCTCTTGGTGACATCATACACAAGAATAACTCCCTGAGCCCCACGGTAATAACTTGGAGTTAACGTGCGAAATCTTTCTTGCCCTGCAGTATCCTGTGATAATATGAGCAGTTATTAAATATTGGTAATAGAAACAACAGAAATCATGAAGTTATAAAAAAAACACTAAACTTACAGTATAAATTTGACTACAGTACTAAGTGCATATCTCAAAAGTCTGCCTTTTTTGGTACTATTTATTCTCTATTATTCTGCCCTCATCCTAGAAACTCAAAGTAACAAATGGAACCAACTCTTCTTTAATGAAAATATGCCAACGAACTAAATTATCCACATCAAAACCAGGGACATAATGAGTTTTATCTTATACACTAATATTTCCTCATTTTGGCAATATGAATTATATTTTTTCATAAATAATTTAATAACAATCTATTTTGTCTGTTACAAATTTATACAGTTAACTGTCTGTTTTGCACTTCATAAATGTAACGTCAGCTGAGAATCACAAAAATTTATGTTGGTGGCAATTTACTGTTAACAAATGTGTAGGTGTGAGCACTGTGCAGGTCCCAGTATGTAAGTAAATATATACCGTTCCTGTCACAAGTCACAGCCATTCACTCACAGCGCTCTCACAGACAAATACTGTACTTAAACTGTATACTGTACTTTATACTGATGTACTGACATCAACTGTTATGTACTATTGACCTCAACAATCTGCTAAATTCAACAATCTGGACAGGGCCAGGAATGGATGTGTCTGGAGAGTTAAGGTTATACTGTACTTAAATCTAGAAAGTGCAACACACTAGCTGAATTCCTTACTTTAATGAGAGTATGCACATAAAATACAGGGAGTGGTAAGGCTGAGGACACACTCCACCGTAGTCTTATACTGCTTGGCTTAAGGGATATAGCTCCAAATTAAGCATTTGTAGCATCTAGTATTTGATACCAAGACTTTAAATTGGTACAGGTATCAACTTATGAGTACCAATACTGTATTATGCAAAGACTATCATTTGGCAACAAATCAATTTAGCCGTCACATTAACAGATGAAGAACTGATAGAAACACCATCAATAAAGGTTCCTTGTGATAAAATTCTTAAAGAATCTCAACTGACATACAGTAATTGAAAACAACTGAATACAAACTGGTTTAACTACTATAAAATCTTAGTAGGCTCACAACAAAATTAATCCTTTAACGACTTTCAACTTTTATTATATAAAAAGGACACTTACCCATATTGCTAATTTTGCAGTGTTTCCATCTATTGATATTGGCTTAACCTTAAAGTCAACACCTATTGTTGCACTTTGTTCAGGATCAAATGTGTCATCTGTGAAACGAAGTAACAAGCTGAAAATGAAAATAAAAATATTATTTTATACTCTTAATGACATAAGGATATACAGTAGTGTAGCTATGGTAATAACAATACTGTACTGTACAGTAGTGTATAACCTTCCAAGTTGGAGGGTCTCTGAAATCACCACTTCCAAACTCTGAAATTTCTTATATTTTATTCGGTATTTCACCACGCATCAGCTTACTAGCCATACAGGCAGTTGGTCAGTTCTTTGTTACTTTTTTATTACCTTTATTGTTCAATATTAGTAAAGCAGAAAACTTGCAATGTTTAGTAGGGTCTCACTGGATAAAATCTTTCTCACATGTGTTACTACTGTACCACCAACACCACCTAAATTTGTCAAATGTATTGTTTAAACACGTGGCTGGTTGTGTGCGTGTGTGTAATAGGATCACCTGAAAAATCTCAACCCCAACTTATTTCACCTAAAGATTAACCACTGTAATACCTAACTTCATTCCCCCAAATAGTATTAGGATGACTAATCTTCAGGTGATCCTAATAATAATAATAATAATAATATAGTTATTTGCATTTTACGCGCATGTAACTTACATACATTCAACTTTACGCGCTTGGCTTAGAAAAAAATACGCAGTGAGTGTAGGAGTGTTTGGCTGGGGGAGATGCTTCTACGCATGCCTCTCTCGGCCTCAGTTGCCACGTGTACTGAGCAGGGGAGGGGGTTTGGGTTGTGTGCCTGCCAAATGACCCTTAGCAACAGTTGCTAAGGGTCGGTCGGCATAGGCAGCACATTCCAACTGAGCTGCAATGCAGTGTGTGCACTATCTTATATAATTTTAGCCTTTTTATGCTTTCAGTATTTTTCCTAAATATTCTCTGCATTAATCAACTTGACAATCAGTGGCAAAAGGATAAAATAAACTTACAGCTGAGGTGGCTGTGTGGTGTGCATTTAAACTGAAATAGGCCTAACCAGCCGAGTCACCATATGCGCGTGGAAGAACTTATCCTTTGTTCATAAAATAATTTATGCTGCACCAGTAAATGTGAGGAATAAATAAAAAAAATACTGTGGTGCCATTTAGCAGATGGTGAGAGAGCGGAGCAGTGAGTGAGGAAACGCCAGCTGTAGCTCTCTCCCTTCCACCCCCAGTGCTTGCTTCTAAACATATTGATTAATTCCCTTTTTGTTTTTCGACATTATGATAATTATTGTATAATCTGTTTGGCACATACTGTGTGTAGTGTGCCTTTAAACTGAAATAGGCCTAACCAGCCAAGTCGCCAGATACACTACTGACAGGTATATATGTAACCATGTACTTCATGGGTGATTTAAGAGATTTTCAAGGGTAATTTTGAGTACTGTATACATATTTTTGGCTTTACGCGCCCTCTTCGGAACATAGCCCTGCGTAAGATGTGACACGAATGTAATAAAATAATTACAATAATAATAATAATAATGGTAGTTTATACAGCTATACCCCAAACCCAACGTCCCCTCAATTGCTGATTCATATAACTGATGAATTTACATAGGGGAAATACCCTGCAAGTTTCGTTGACACCCCAGAGATCCGACTATCAGGGGAAGAGTGGCAGAGCTGTTTTGAATTTGGCGGGCGGTGGCATGGAGCAAATTCTTGCCACGAGAGGGCTCTACGCACTGCCTATGACTCATTCCCGCTTCTCTGCATGTCGGAAATGAGTCGTTTTGGAGTTATCACCCCCCCCATAGAACCTGACCTAACCAACCATAAAAAACCTACCTAACCTTACTTAACTTCCTAGCCGTCTCCACCATATTAAACAGAAAGTACTTATTTTGATATATGATACTGTACCAATGAAAGCAGCTTTGCCTTTGTCAAAGCATCATTGTGTAATTTCACGTTTTTTGTGGAAGTAAAAGTGTGCTCAGATCAAGAGGGTCAGTTGTAATCAAACAGACGAAACACGGTGACTGCAGATTTACATTAATTTCTTACATTAATTTATCTCGGTTAAGTGGTATTTGGAAAAGTTGTTCCTATTGACAAGATATAACTAATGGCATACAAAATTGTTCTGAGTTGTGGCTGAAACTGTAATAATACCCACTAGAGGTATTAAACTATAATGTTATTCAAGTTTCCCTTTACAGTATCAGGAAAGGTATCTACTATCTAGTATTAACACGGGAAGAAATATGACCATACAAGTAACTTACATAAGTTATTAGGAATTTCCCAATAAACAGGATCCACCACAACTGAAAATATTTACTGACAGATGAATAAGCCATTTTATTAAGTTACATCACTTGGGGAAATTTTTAGCCTTGTCCTTGAACACCATCTCCATGTGTAAGATTAGACACAACAATTATATAATTGTTCGGGCCACAATGGCAATTCTACAACATTTTGAATCTTTACAGAAATGAGTATGCCATTAAAAATTAGTTTCATACAGAGATAATGGTATATTTTAACATTCCAGAACATACAATGGTTGGGCCACTTCAAAAACAAAGCGAAACCATAATACTTTACAGTACGTGTACATAATTACTCCACAAATTCACTACTTACCTAGACTTTCCCACTCCACTCTCCCCGATAATAAGAATCTTGAGCGTTGTTAGAATATCCTGATCTGCCATTTCAATGTGATCACTAATACAAAAAAGTTATAGACTGTATATTTACGCCGCAGCTGATCGTCCAGCTTCCCCTGCTGCTCTCATCACCTGTTTTCTGTCAACAACACTGATGGCTTATATTGACTTCGCTCCATGTGAAAATTTTAAAATATTGTATTAAAATTACGATTAATTTTTCTACCAACGTACCATATAAATCATCTTCCTTTTTAATAAATTCTGATTTAGATAACTTTAATGGAAATTACCCAAGTACATAACTAAAGACTGATAGTAAATGATATGTGAATTTCTTATTATGTTTTTGTACGAAGTATATTATTTTAAGACTACTAAAAATACTAAAATTCTTAAATAATTTTAACAATAATTACAATTAAGATATAGGGATGTGAAGAAGTTGTAGTAGTGGGTAGTTGAATTATTTGTTATGATTCAAGCTCAGGCATCAGGGACAGCCCGGGACTGAGGGACTGTGCGGCTCGCCTCTCTCCACAATCCTAGTCGCTGTTTTATTAGGTATCCATGAGTAATCACAGGTATTTTTTTAACAGAAGGTATTACTTGAGATTTTTGTTAACAACTCCGGGTCAAACAACGTACCAGTAAGATCATGGTCGGTTGTGAGTATCTGATGTTACAAGACAATGTCTGGTGAGTTCCTCCAAAATCAGTCGCATCATGTTTTCATTATTGTCGTAGTCAAGCTTGTGCTTCTTGATTATAGTTTTGAGCTAACATTTATGCTGTTGAGATGTATATTTGTTACTATTTTACAGATCTGAAACCTCCAAATGTGTACACCTCCTCGTTATTCTACAGTATTAAATTAATCCCACAAAGAGGGCTGGGCTTTGAAGCTAAAGAAAAGTGTGGGATTAACCATTTTGGTGCTGTTAACCATCTCATTAACTAGAGTCACTGAGAGGTTGCTGACTAGTAGATAGTTAAATTGTTTGTTGTTGTGGCTATTATTGACGCCTGACCTGCTGGCGATTTATTTAGGTCTTTTTTTTTATAAATTTCCCTCTTGCTTGGTGGAGGTGGTATACAGTATTGTAGTCCTTGAACTAGTTCTGAAATTCTTGGTTGGCATACAAACACTGTTGTGGGGGGGGGTTAATACTTGATCAAGTGGAAGCAATGTTTTCGTACAGTACTACAGTACTTGTATTTGCAATCTGGTAGCAGGGGCAAATCCAGGAATATCTAAAGGGGGTCCAAGAAGTTGTGAGTGGGACAACATGGCAAGCACAGTGAGCCCACCCAGCTTGGGGGTTTTGGGGGGTGCCTCCCCGCCCAGAATTTTTTTTAAAATATGACCAATATCAAGGCTATTTTGAAGCCATGCATCCTTGATATTAGGAGATATTCTGTGGTCAATGATAATTACTTTTTACGATACAAAAATGCTTGAGTACAATACTGCATTAAAGAGAAAGTACAGTACAGTACCGTATTGACATTTTCTGATGAAAGGGGGGGTGTCAGAGCATAATGCCTTGAGGAGAAGCAGTGAGTTGGTTTCTTTTGGTCCTTTGCAGATGTGGGACAGTCTCTTTTGGAAGCCATTATTACAGTGCAGGTATTTGCATCTTTTTTCTTTAGAATTCTCTTTAATATCCATGAGTGACCTGTGCAGTTAGGCAGATGTAATATTAACAGACTGCTATGATGCAATGTGTTTATGAGAGCTGCCTGGTGGAAGGTCTAAGCTAAAAATGAAGGCTTAATCCTGAATTTTTTTCCTAAAAAGATCCTCTAGTCAGGCCTTTTGGATACTGTCCCTTCATAGTATTTTTGGGTAGGCAGTGGTAAATTAAACTAAAAGTGTCAGATTGATTTTGAAATCAAGATGGAGACTGTTACTGTTGCAGTTAGTACTGGTTAGGTAGTCACAGTTGTGTTTTTAGATGTGCCTCTAGAGGGGAACCTGTGCTTCTCAATTCACTTTTGTTAGGGAGATAGTTGTGAGAGCAAGAATGGGCAGTCATAAGATCATCCCCCAGCTACCAGTTGAGTGTCATTTACTGTCGTAGACTCTTCCCAAAATGTGAAAGTTGGGCCTATTGGCATGATGGCCCATAGGAGAATTGTTGATCCTACAGGACACATTATGTTGGGCCTTTGGGACACATAGTCAGCATGACTGGCACTGCTCTCAAATGTTACCCTACTGCTTGGTGAACTGGGGGTACTGTGGGCATATACCATCAAACTGTAAGACAGGCAGTGAGTACTGTATCAACTTGGCTACTACATCCCAAAATGGCAGAGGCTCAATAAAGAGAGTCACATAGCTTTGGGCTCAAACTAGAGATGGGAATTTCAGTATGAAGAAAATTTGGATTTTTTTATCACATGAAAGTATCGGTCAGTTTACAGAATAAAAGTTAACTATGAATATCCTTATTAGCTATAAAGTGTGCCCAACCATGTCAGATAAACTGAATAGGCAAGTCAAAATTGTACTGTCCAGTTAACTGTATTAGTAGTACCGGTACTGTATTAATTATTTTGCATCCAAAGAATTTTTATAGATGCAAGTAAAGAACAATTACTGTAACTATTAAATTTCTTAATAAAATCTTGAGTCAGAACCATTGCTGTATTACAAAGCCTATTGCTCTTTTTTCAATACCTGTACAATGTACAGTTACAGTACAGTATGTCTATTAGCATGTCAAAAGTTTTATATTATTTACTTTATTGCAGGAATAATATTGCAATCAAAGATTAAAGACAATGAGTGACCAGGATCGAAATCCATTAAAGAAGCAGCTATCAAAATCTTCCTTAGAGAAGAGTTTGCAGATGATCTCTCCTCCTCAACAAGCACCAGTCACAATCTACCCTGGACCATCAGCTGGCATGGCTAATCTCTCAAAGGTTTGTTGCCATTTGTATACAAACTGTTTGACTTGATTATTATTAGCAGGGGTTATTTGACTGGTATCCGGCCGAATAACCACCTTTATTCTACATATTAATTACAGTATATGAAATTTAAGAATACAGAATAATTTCTTAATTTTCCACATACTGTATTACATAAGTAAATGAGGAGAAATTGGATAATCAGGCAACTGGCTGATTGTCACGGAGATGAATTTACTTTTCCCCAGTGAGATTGAGGAGCAGGAGAATGATAACATTAAAAGCTAAATAATTTTTTTTAGTATTAAGCAAGTTTTATTGAGTACAATTAGTGTTTGTTTATTACCAAATTTTCCTATACGGGTATTTTTATTATGTACAGTATCGGTATTTTGCAGATCTTTGACTTTGGGTAATCGAGCCAGAATGGGATATCAATGAGTTCAAATGGGTAGTAAGCTAATGAGTGGTGAAATGATAGAAAAAACACATAAAACCACATTTGATGAAGGAACACAGTTTAAAGAAAAATATGTCAACAAAGTACTACCCACTGCTCCTAGTTATACCTTCCTTGACATCCTAGATTTCCCCTGTTTAGCATCACAGTGAAGTACTTTGCTGGGGTGGAGGGCTGGAAGCAAATTTAAAAAATATGGATTCACTTTATGTTAGAAAAGATTAGACATCGGGTTATAGTTATTACCAAATTTTATGTATTCCTGTACACTGTTTTAGTGCATTTAAATTTAATGAGCACTTTTGTATTTCCTTCAGGCTGATTTGGAAATTGCACAGCGTTTGCAGAATCTTCGCAAATCACAGTCGGATAATGTGCCAACAGAAGAAGAAATGGCTTCCAGACTTGCACATTTGAAAGGCCTCCCAGCAGACCATTATGCCAAGACTTCAACTGTTGCATATCAACCTCCTGATGCCAGAACGCAGGGTCAGAGAACTGATGATCTACTTTCACAGGTAATGTAATTATATTTGAATTCATCATACACTAAATTGCTTAACCCTTGATCGATTGCCTATCTGTAATGTCCTTAATTCACATCGAGTCCCATTTAAATTTTACATGATTGTACTGTACCTGCCCTTGTATAGGTAACTGTCTGCTGTTCTCTAGCCAAGGGATTGAATATGATATAATATTATATTAAATCTTAAGTAAGGTGGAGATTTCACATGGAAGAATTTTAAATTTGGATAACATAGCTTCATCAGGACTGGGACCAGAAAATGGGGAATCAGTCAGTTTGCTTGTGTTTCACTTAGTCTGTCTAACTTACACCAAACAGGATAATGGTCATCTGTGGGAACCCCCTTAGAAAAAAGTTTGCATGCATATTTATCTCATGGCCCTTTGTTCATCATCACACACCTCTTCCTCTTCTTTGCTCTAAAGAATTGAAATTGATGAAATTGTTTCATATATTATATCAGGTTATGGAAGAAGTGTCCCTAGACTCCCGTGTTCCAAATCAAGATGATGAATTAGAAGCCCGCCTTGCACGACTCAGAGGAGAGGAATCTCGTCCTAGTCAGCCTCAGGGTGCCATGGCTTTACCATCAGCTGCATATCTTGCTAATTCCCAAGTCAGAGCTGAGGTTTCCTTGGGAGAAGACCTTGATGATATGAGTATAGATGAAGTAAGTAAATAAATAGAAATTTATGTAAATACTGTATACAGTAATCCTTCGCCGACCTCTGGGGATACGTTCTAGAATTCTCTAGTGATTTGTAAAACTGTGGTTGGCAAGAGGTTTGGGGAAGTGATCCTTGAGAGACATACCTAAAGTTCTATAATGTACAGCTCAAGGTTATTAATTAGTACAGGATGTATGCTATACAATACTGTCTCTGTCAGTGTATAAGAAACATTTATTTTCTCCTGCAAAAGTACCCACTCAAATCACCCTATATGTCTTACATAGGTACACCAAAGTTAGTGATGGTTAGTCAGTTGTATGACCCCTTATACTGAAGGTTACCATGGTCATGCTGCCAGGAAAAAGTCAGACCTTTTAAAAGGGTACTGTACCAGTATTCTACATTGTACATATCACAAGCCATATAACTACAGTACTAAAAAAAATTCTTGTTTATCAAAATTCTTAATATTTGTTGGTGAGGAAGCAGTGAGTGGATGAGCAACTGCCTACACACAGTGCAGTGTGGAAGTGTGGTTAGGTTAGGTCATCTACCTGGTATATACGATCACCATGGTTTTAAGGGAGATGTTTTGGTTAATTTTTTTTAATAGGAATGTATGTCAGCTTTTATAATAGGAGTCTATGGGAAAATGTGCTTCAGTGTATGAAATAGTGAATTATGAAAGGAATATCAGGAATGGAACTTGTTTGTAAATTGGGGTACTATATGCCTGTACAGTGAACCCTCACTTTACGCGGCTAATTGAACCCACGGCGGCCTGCGTAAAGTGAACAACATAACATATGGGATTAATTGAAATAGAGACCGGGCCGACCCCCAAACTCCACTTTTTCCCGACACAATACGTACGTTTTACTAAAAATAACATCTTAACTTTATGATGGTATTCACACACACATAATATAGAAGGGAACAATCAATAAGAGAATAATAAACTGAAGGTTAAGTTAGAAAAAAAACAAGGTTGGGGTTAACACTTACATTAGTAGAAGAGATGGGTTGGCGTAGGGGAATGGAGGCTGGTTCCGAGGCAGAGGACAGGCTACTGGCCCTCAGGTGAGTCTTCATCGGTGTCGTCCACACTTACTAGTGCCTCCCTGACAAATCCCTCAAAGTCATCATCACTGTCTCTGCCTCTGTCACTATCACTGGCTTGGGCTGGCTGTGGTGGGTTGCGGGCGAAGAACTCTGTTATGCTTTGCTGACGGCTGGTGTTTATGTTGTCGTGATAAACCTTGATGTAGGGCTCCATAGTCTGCAACAGCTGGGTAGTGAAGATTTCATACCTGTTTGCGTCAGGGTCGTCGGAAAGGAGGAGCTTGACTTTCTCAATACACTCGATGGCACCCCTTACATTACTATGGGATAAGCGGCGTTCTTTGTGGGATGACGCACCACCTGCCTCTTCACTGACGTCATCATCATCTACCATCTCGTCGGTAGTCACATCAGGATCCCTTATCACCTCCAGGATGTCGTCGTTGGTGGTCTCGGAGAAGCCTGCAGCTGTAACACTCTGCGCAGCTTCTCTGGCAAGGTCCACTGCTACTGCAACAGTCTGAACCTCACCAGTCACAGATTTACTCTGCCTAACACCCGGAATGCCTTGCAACACATGTCTCCATGCGTGATGAACAGTTGCGACAGACAGCTGATCCCATGCCTCCACCAAGAAGTCCACAGCTTTCTTGACATTGAATGTTCTCCAGAATTGTTTCAAAAGTACTTCTTGCTCTGCCAACTGTTGATCCTCGTCGTCTTCGCTCTTGCTATCGGTGTTGGTGTCACTCAGGTTACGCAACTCTTCCTTGGTGTTGGTGCAGTCGTTCAGGAGGTTGAATTTTTTAGCGGGGAATGCAGCTTTTACATTACAGATCAATTCTTGGTCCATGGGCTGTATTATAGACGTAGTGTTGGGAGGAAGGAAGACCACTTTTACGTTGGGGTGACGATCTAACAGTAGTGGCGAGTGTCCTGGTGCGTTGTCAAGCAGCAACAAAATCTTGAATGGCACATTCTGTTGCTCACAGAATTTCTTCACATCGGGAACGAAACAGTCATCAAACCAGGAGAGGGACAGTGTAGAGAACATCCACGCCTTACGTGCGGTCAGCCAGTGGACATTTAGCTTGGTCATGTCCATGCTCTTGTAGGCGTGCGGCTTGCGTGCTGTGTGGATCACCGATAACTTGAGCTTACGGGTACCGGAGGCATTGGTGGTAAACATAACGGTGATGCGCTCCTTCTGCAGCTTCCGGCCCCGACACTTGCTGGCATTCTTCACAACGAAGGTCTTGGAAGGTAGCTTTTTCCAAAAAAGACCAGATTCGTCCATGTTAAACACCTGGTCGTCGGTGTACTGTCCTTCCTCCATAATCTCACGTAAAAACGGTGGAAATTCCCTAGCCGCACCATGGTCAGCACTAGCTTCTTCACCACCAGTGTTGATATTGGTGATCTTGTTCCTCTTCTTAAACCTCTGTAACCACCCAGAGGAAGCATTAAAGGGTTTGGGCTCTGTAATTCCCATTTTTCGTGACACTGCAGCATACAGTTCAGGTGCGTACTCCTAAACTGAGCGCGTGTCCACCGCCATGTTCCGTCGCGCCTGACGCACCAAGTAGCTCACAAGTAATTTTTCCGTCTTGAGAAGCACCTGGTTGTGGAAATACTTGATCATAGAAGCACCTGTAGACTTTGTGATGTTCATGTGTTCCTTTATCTTGGCTGCATCCTTCTTAATTGTCCTGATAGTTGATTCGTTTACACCATGCTGGCGCGCGAGATCAACCTGTCTTGTTCCTTTCTCCAACTCTTGTATGATCTTATATTTTATTTCGTAGCTTAAGGAACGTCGTGTCTTCTTTGGCTTAGGGCGGCTGGGTCCAGGTAATGCAAGGTTTCTTTGTGGTGGTGGTGGTGGTCCGGTGGAAGCCATTCTTATGGAACAATGGATACCGATATACACGGTGTAGCCGGGAGGGGTGTAACTGACGCGGTAGGTCAAGGAGCTTGAATGCTCCCGCAGCAGGGCACGTCGTAGTACTACATTAAACCAATCACAGCTAGCAGGGAGGGAGGTAAGGATGCTTTGCCCAATCACAGTCTGCTACGTCATATGACGTCACTGATAACGCAACAAAGACATACACTGCGCAACCTACTCGCACCACTTACACAACATGGCGGATGGGGAGAAATGGCGGGAGGTTTGGTTCCAAAAATGTCGCAGCGCGAGAGGACCGCCAGCCGCTCTCCACGTAAAGGGGTACACGCACCGCGGAAAGTGAGCATTCCGTGTTCGGCAGGGTACTGCATAAACGTGGAAACGTGTAAAGCGAGGGTTGACTGTATACTGTATGGAAGTAATATACAGGGGGTCCCTGACTTATGAACTTCTGCCAATATGAGCAGGGTTAAACTTGAAATTTAGTGTTTTATTTACCTGATGACTTATTGTTTACTTTCATTAACTGTATTTTGTCATTCTTTTTCTTCTTTTGTCTTAAATTAATTGTTTTTAGATGTATATAAAAACTTAGGCTATGATATAGTGGAATTTTAAACATTGTTCTGTAAGTATGGTATGCACATGGCATGTGTTCCGTCTTACGTAAAATTCCGACTTAAGAACGTCCTCAGGAATGTAACCCGGGGACCCCCTGTACAGTACACTGTGCAAGTATTGAAAGAATTTACAATAATGTAATGGTGCAGTCCCCTCTTATGCCACATGTTTGACTTGAACACTTTTCCTAGTAATGCAAATATATGTACAGTACATGTACGTATGAAGTTTATATACTGTAACCTCGTTTTTCATATGGAATGTGTGCATGAACAATACCCAAAAAAAAACATTTTTGATACAAGATAATAGACTAAAGGAGAGCTTTGGACAAAATATCTATACAGTAATTAATTTTTCAGGTGGAAGCACTAATGCAGGCTGCAGAGAAGGAAGCCCAAGCATCTGCTGAGAAATCTGTGGGTGAATTGCAAGCGGATCCTGAATTAGCAGGAGCTGTGGCACAAGCTACAAGAAAGAAAGAAAAGAAAGGACGGCAGAAAAAGTCAAAGGGAACAAGTGGAGGCTCGTCTGATGAAGAAAGACATAGCAAGAGTTTTGACAGTGACTTAGAAATAGAAGGGGGGAAGGCTATTGATGCAGTGACTGAACAAGAGGAAGTTCAGAGAATTATTGATATGTATACCAAACGAGCACAGCTTAAGAAGGAGAAGAAAAAGAAGAAGAAAGAAGCAGCAGCAGCTGCCATGGGAGGTGCTGTTGGGGGTGATGATTCTGATTCAGACATTGAAGTGAGTTCTGTTTCAGATTTAAGTTCTGATAGTGAGAAATTTAGCATGAGTGATGAGCTTAGTGATTAAAGATATTTGATCAAGATATTGGTGCTAAATTGATATGTAATTATGCATCAGCATATCACAGGTTAAAAATTTTTTTATTTTGGGGAGATCAGTTGTAGCTCTTGTTGGAGCTGTTATGTGTATAAGCAGCTATGACAAGCTTCGGACTATTATATGACTCCAGTGATTTTGACAGTTGGATTCCTCATGTTTTAGAGGGATGCCAAACTCGTTTGCGGAAATATGTAAAAGATGTGAACAAGTAATTTAATATTACTGTGGAATTAAACTGAATTCATAATTATAACATTGTTTGTGATGTGGCAATGCTTTTAAATCAGAAATGCACCCATAATTATTTTTTTGCAACAATACCTACTCCTTGAAATATTGCAAATGATATTAGTGATATCACTTTCAGACACAATCTAGCTTGCTTAATATATATAAAACATTTTTAAACTCATTAACATCTTCAGATTTGGATGACAATTAAACTCAATTGTCAAGTTAGTATAACCTTTGTCTCAAATGATGCTAACATGCATATTCAGTATTTTAAGAGACAGCACACCATGCAGACATATACAACACGGACATAAAGTACACGTATATAGCTCTGACATACTTCTTACACTCCTAGTGTTCAGATACATACCATACAAACATACCTTCCACATTATTACACAAAAATACTCATTCATAACAAAAAAATAGATAAACATGCATACAGACACAGCATAGCACACTTAAAACATTCCAGCACATACAGTACACAGTGATGTATGCTGTCACAACATACATGCTCACACTTAATACATATTCATCTCTGATCACATTGTTGAGCTTCAATATTTTCAGATTTGTCACATTTACATATTGCTGTGAGCTATTTAATGTTTAAAGTAACACTTCCCACATTTACACATTATATTATTAAATATATTATCCTTGCACTCAAAAGTAACCAAAGTAAGTCATGCACATGCAAATATGCATGAGGTCTTTGCTTATGTATGCAGACATATCCATAAGCCTCTTGTAAAGCATTTATGCTATCAAAGAAATTATGAAAACAGTAGAATTTATACAACCAACCTATCATATGATTTTCTGTCAGCTTTAAGATTTAGGTTTAAGATACTAGATACTGTACTTACTTTTATATTTTAATAAAAGTAAACAATCTTTTAGAGTAAGGTGCGGTGACCTGTAAGTAATGTAATGTCCATGTCCTCTGTGTGCCTTGCTTACTGACAGTTTGGATGGGTTTAAGTGACCTTCCATAGGCCCCCTGACTACACTTGGCCTCGGTTCTCTTTTCATTAAAATTGCATGCATGCATTTTTTAAAGAAATCTCTTCCTCATTACAGCTTAGTCATTTCCCTTTAGCATTTCTTACAAGATTATATTTAAGGAATATTAGTGGGATAGTTGTTGGCAGTAAAGTTTTATTTGTAATATATTTTAATAATTGGTTCCAATTATGTTGTCAGTAAAACATTTGCAGCAATTTAATGCAACTGATTGTAAGAACTCTTTCAAAGAAAAGTATACTGTACAGGATTAGGAGAGTAGAAAAGGTAAAGAATAAAGTCGAAGGGAAGACTATTTTTATCATGAAATGACTGATAAAGTGAAATAATGAAGGATAGTAGTAAAGTAAGTTGACCAACAGGGTATAACAGTGATCTAGGATAATGATAAACCAAAACAGAAGTTGAAGGGTCAAGTGAATATATATATATATATATATATATATATATATATATATATATATATATATATATATATATATATATATATATATATATATATATATATATATATATATATATATACAGTGGTCCCTCGGTTAACGAACACAATTCGTTCATTAACCGAAACCATTGTTTCAATGGGATTTTGGGTAATTGGGTTCAGCTCACCGAAAATTACATACAAACTAAAAATAATGTAGTAAAGTGCACTTACTTTGAGGTGTGCATGTAGTAGGTTCCTGGTTGATGATGATGATGGGAATTAGAAGTGGGGGTGAAGGAGAAGGGAGAAGAGAAGGCAGTGGGGTGGAAGAGAAATTACCCCATGGTTCATGCTGCCATTTCACCCATAAAATTTTAAGTTCACTTGGTGTAATTCAAGATTATTTTCTTTAAATCAACACTGCACTGCATTATATGTAAAATAAATTTCAGAATGACCAATAATTGTACTGTAAAAACGTAAAAATAGTTTATGTTCAAGAGAGTCTCAAGCAAGATGCTAACTCCACTGAGCAGAGACACAAACTGACGCCATTCTGGGCGAGGCAAGTGGCTGTTTGGCGCTCTAAAAACTATGTAGTTCCCTGTACTTCAATTATGTTAAATAATTGTTAAAATGACTAAAAATTTTAATACAAGTCTTGGAAAATTATTGAATAGTACAACCTTCTTGATATTTACTCAAATGGTAACGAATTTAAGCCCTAAAACCGATTACTGTATTGGCGGACTAATACTACAGCTGGTGAGCAGGCGAAAACATGTTGACACGATTTCGTTAACAGAATTTTTTTCGTTAACCGAATTGAATATTCTTATGGAAGGTAATTCGTTAACCGAGGGATCACTGTGTATATATATATATATATATATATGATTACTGTTGTAAACCAAAATTTTCACTTAATGAATTTGAATATATAGAGATGAATTGTTTAAGTTTGCATTAAATATGTTGTATTGTACAGAGTAATTTTATTAAAATTAATAAACCCATGTAGCTATGCAAAGGATCTGATATGCTTGGTTAGGTTAATCAGATTGATATACAGTGAACCCTCACTTTACGCGGTTAATTCAACCCACGGCGGCCCGCTTAAAGTGAGAAACACGTAAAGTGAACAACATAACATATGTGATTAATTGAAATAGAGACCGGGCCGACCCCCAAACTCCACTTTTTCAGACACAATATCTACGTTGTAGTAAAAATAACTTCTTAATTTTATGATGGTATGCACACACAATTAATAATTAAGAGAAATATCAATAATATTAGGTTTTTTAACACTTACATTAGTAGAAAAGATGGCTGGGCACACGGGGATGGGGGGTTGGTTCCGAGGCAGAGGGCAGATTATTGGCCCTCACCTGTATAACTTGTATCAATTGTATCACTATCCACCACAGAGGCTTGCAGGGCCTCTTTGTCAAACCCCTCAAAGTCCATATCCTCACTATCACTGACTTGGGCCGGCTGTGGTGGGTGGCTGGTGAAGAACTCGGTAATGTTTTGATGACTGGGCGACCTTGTGTGCACCCTGCTCGCGCCGCTCTCCGCGTAAAAGGGTACACACACTGCGGAAAGTGAGCATTCCGGTTTCGGCAGGGTACCGCGTAATCGTGGAAACGCGTAAAGTGGGACGGTGTAAAGCGAGGGTTGACTGTATTCAAGATCTGAGCATTAAGAATGGCATCAAATATTGTGTATGCCTTGATAAAACAAGATGACTGTAATTATTCCGTTAAAAAGCATTTGCTTAGACACTCCGCTAGGTTGGTTTTTTTGTGTTTTACGTTATGGACAGGTTGGTATACAGTATATGAAATTATCAACAACCAGTATTAATCCACTTCTTGATTAAGCCTTTCTTGGGATCTTCAAGCCAATTGATCAAATAATGTAAGGTACATACAAGCTTTCCAATACCATCTATCCATTATTGACCAGTTTTGCTTGCTATAAGTCCTCCTAGTACTCACTGTCATTACATTTCTTAACCTAGATATAATGTATCATACTTAAGTTGGAGATTTGACTTTGTTTCTTTTCCTGTTCCATGTAGATAATGCAAGGTTTTTTATATACAGTAGTTTGAATGCTCTCATGTTTGCATTCATTCTGATGTTTGAGATCTACAATTTGAATACCTGTACCGTATATTCCTTTTCAGTAGCTGATAAAAAAAAATGGCCGAGGGATAAAATGTAATAGGTACACTGATTAATGTATGGAGAGAGATTTGTGTTAACTTGTCAGGGAAGGTGAAGATGGTGATGTGAAAGGGGACAGTTTAAGTGACATTACAATATTGTACATATTAGAAAGGATAATTATTAATGATACAACTAAGAGCAATATGTGGGATGAATAGGATGTGGAAATGAATAGAGTATTGTATCAGAGACCAGAATTGCTGGTTTACAAAGGTCATAACATATTGAGAGAAAGGGAATAAAAAGGATTTTAAAAATTGTACAGCTCAGAAGTGAAAGAGGGCGGGGGGGACCAAAAAGGGAATTTATATCCAAGAAACATGGTGTTAGGCTGATTTATGGGAATGTATCTGCTACTGATGAATAATGCTGGGTTGTATGAAGTGGCAGATAAACCATGTTTTGGAAGGGAAACATTTGTGCAGAACTCATCTATTACAGCAGTAATAATGAATGAAGGGAAAATGTGTACAGTACAGTATGTATTTTTTACCTTTGATTATGACTACCATGCACAATAGTGGGGAAAATGCTTGAAAATTAAAATATATATAAACTGGTGTGTGTGTAATGATGATTTGGTTTCTGGTATTTCTGGCTGTACACTTAATTTGTATTTCAGTGAATTATGTTGTTTTTGGGTTTTTTCATCAAAATGGCAATATGCATGTAACAAGCATAAAACTAGAAAAGAAATGTATAAGTCAAACCCCTCAATCTGGCACCCTTGGGACACTTACTGGTGCTGGACAAAACAAATTTCCAAAACACAGAACTTTAGTTTACTGAACTTTATCCTCTTCACCATTGATCAGCCTGTTAGCTGCTTGGGCAGTCAGGCATGTGTCTGTTATGCACTGTTGGCACGTACAGTTTCTGAGCCTGTGCCAGTGTTGGTCAAGTCTGGTATTGAATGAACTCTCACATGGTGCTATCACAACAGTCTCTGTCAGGTTATAACAAGGAGTTCACAACTCTCACTCCAAAATAAGATTGCAATGGCAATTTTCTGAGTTTGTGGCTTTTTCAACCTGAGGCTGTGACTTCTAGTGGGGCAGGCATCTGCTAGTTCCAGGTATGAAAACGCAACTGAGGTGCTTATGGATTTTTTTATTAAGTAACCCTTTGCCTGCCTTATAGTATAAACTAGGCAACTGCAAGAGTTCTAAACACTCGGTACCTCAGGTGACAGAATCCAAGTACTAGTCTGGAGATAGCTAAAATCTGGTGGAAAAAAATACTATACTCCACCGACACACCAATAAGAAAATACAGGGTGATTCAGCAGAGTACATTAAATTGGAGAATGAAATCCTTGGATATTTCTAAACCACAATGTCTATGGAAAAATATCAGATTCTGCATAGTTTCCATGTTACAATACATTTAAGATGTTGGGAGCGAATTTGAAGTGAACCCCCCATAGGTTTTTGTCATCATTTATTCACAGATGTCTTATGTACAGCAGTACAGTACAGTGTGATACAGATGGCTGACACAGGTGCAATGAGACAGGGGTCACACTGTGGAGATCTGTGAATAAATGATTACAAAAACCTATAGGGGGTTCACTTCAAATTTGCTCCCAACATCTTAAATGTATTGTAACATGGAAACTATGCAGAATCTGATATTTTACCATAGAAACATTGTGGTTTAGAATTATCCAAGGATTTCATCCCCCAATTTAATGAACATTTTGCTGAATCACCCTATATATATATATATATATATATATATATATATATATATATATAGTAAAACCTCGATTAACCGACTTTCGGATTAACCGTCAATCCCGAACTCCTTAAAAAAAAATTTTTTTTTACAGGGATTAGCCCACCCGGGCACAGGTCACTAACCCACATCGGGGCCTGGGGGGCGATAATGTAATAATATTAATAATGATAGTAATAATAATAATAGTAATAAAGAACCATGAACAAATGCAAAAATGTAAACAAAAATTCAAGAGTGAGAAACCATATACTGTATGTATGTTGTGTTGTCAATAGTAAGAGAAGCAATTGAGACCCTGCAATTGTGTGTAAATGAGGTAGAAAGTCAGATCAGCAACCTGGGACTTGGTCACAATTTTTTTGATGACTTTTCCATTTTTTTATTCACGGTTTCTGTGTTGGTTCATATTCATTTACTAAAGTGGTTAATGTTTTAAAGCAAATTCTATTGAAATATGAATGGCAAATGAAAAAAAATAAATAGGGGGAATTAAATGAGTTAGGTTCGGGAAACGTACTTTGAAAATGTATGTTATATTTCCGTAGACTTTTTTTACTTAACCTACCTTTCGGATTATCCGTCGGCCCCTTCCCCCCATATGTGGTCGGTTAATCGAGGTTTTACTATATATATATATATATATATATATATATATATATATATATATATATATATATATATATATATATATATATATATATATATATATATATATATCCTCCCCGACTTACGATCTACTCAACTTACGTTCACCCGCACTTAAGACCTGCCTCAGTCGTACCAAAATGTGGTCAAATTACGTATTTTCGAGTCCCAAAGTCAGTACCGTACACAGACAAAATTTTCAATTGTAATTCACTTTAAAATGGCTGGCAAGTTTAAAAGTGAGAGTTTTGTGGTGGTGAGTAGAAAAAGAGACACCCATTTTAGATTTTCTATGTATTATTTAGGCATTTCCGACTTACGACCTGGATGTCGATCTCTAACCCTGTCGTAAGTCGGTGAGGAGCTGTATATATATATATATATATATATATATATATATATATATATATATATATATATATATATATATATATATATATATATATATATATATATATATATATATATATATATAT